ATTCCGTCGGGTATTTATCTCAGCTCACTCCCAAAATCTTAACACAGCCTGGCATTCGCAAACAACGTTCAAATTGCAAAAAATAACATGACCGCGGGCATGCAGCCAAAAAAGGACAACCAGGACTTATCATCCTTTTTTTTGGTCCTTCAGTTGGCGGACTCAGCTGGTCGCTAAGTCGAACCCCAAAGGCCACGGGGTCTGCCATCCATATTGACACAACATGCCAATTTTGTGTGCGGCAGGTGGCGGGCGACCAGCGCGTCGTGTCCTGCGGCTTTGCGGGTGTCACTAGACCAGCAGCCACCGAAAGGACCTGCAAGGATGTGAGGCAGAGAAGGTGTGGGATGATGGCCTTTTGGGGTGGGGCTAACAGCAGTTTGACTCCCCATATCAACTGACAAAATAATTAATTTTATTCGCATTTTTGTTTGAGCTCGGTTAGCTACAGTGCTGCTCAGCATGCTAGGGGCTATTAGTACAATTTTAGTAATGTACCCAATTAAATTGCACTTCTGACTGCAAAAAGCTCACTTTAATTTATATAGAAATCAATCTTGTTTATATAAATCCACTTCATATTCAGTATCAAAGTGATAAAACCATTACGCTACCTTATTAACATAGTAATCGCACAATAAAATCATCTACAAGCCTACAGTGTGTCCCAATTCGTATGTTTTAGATGAATGCTTTAGATCATTTATCTGGCGTATTCACTGTACTTAGTGGGTGAAGTGTGTAAGTGGGTAAGGATCCTAACTCCTGCCTGGCATACGTAATTAAATGCGCCTTACGCAATGTGCGAAAAGTGAAGACGGAAAAATGCCAAGGGAAAGAAATGAAAAGTTAAAGGAGACGAGCGGCTGGAATGGAGTGGGCGTGGCCCTTCTAACCCAACACGCCCACCGGCAGACGCTTTTCCAGCTTTTCTGTGTAATTAGTTTTTCCCCTCCAAACCAGGGCGAAAAAAGAGAAGAGCGAAAAAGTTCCCTCTGCGATTCGGTTCAGATTTTATTGAATTTTCTTTTCATTTGTTTGTTGATTTTTGGGATTTGCCGCATTTCGTATGCACAGCGGATAGGTTAAAGGGGGCGGCGGTGGGAGGTCGGTGGTCTGTCATTGAGACAAATCCTTGTTTATACAGCTCCTTGTTGCTGCTGCCGCCTCTGTGACTTTTCGTTTTGCCAATAAATTACTTTGTAATCAAGTGAATTCGAGTGGCAAAAGACCAAGAGCCACAAAAAGGAAAAAAGGCGAACTAAATGGAAGTTGCTGGTCTATCAAATGACTGTGCAGGAAATGTTTGATTTGGCTTACCCAATGATGACTGTAATTTACTCAAGATTTTTAATAAAAGCGTATCTACCCTCTGTGTTTGACGAATATTTGTATTCATGTGTTTGCCACTATAACAACTACGTTTTCGTTATTAAATAATGTGAAAACATTTGAAAGGGCAGTAAGATCGGCCAAATTGGTCCATTATATTGTTTTCTCAGTAAATTTTCTACTTCAAGATGCTTTTAGACGCCAGACGGAGGCCATTATTATATTGAACCTGTACACACATTCCTAATACGTTTAACAATGGCTAGAAATCAGCGCAAACAATGCCAAAAGCCTGGCTCAAAGTTTGCCCAATGCATTACTCGAGGACGTTGTGCCATAATGGATTTGCATTTTCAGCTCAGAAAAGCAATCCTTTGCAAACGTATTGAAAATATTACTTACGAGCATGTGCTCGTAAATAAAGGCTAACACGCACTTCTGAATATATGTACATATATACCGATATAATATTGTAAGAAATACGAAATTGGTCTTAAAGAGTTATTTGATCTGATGTTTTGCAACCCCATCGTGTGCGCATTTATGTAAATGAGTAATTGCTTGACAAAATTATGGCAGCCACACAATGGAGGCAAGGACCTAGCCGAAGGCAGAGCAGAAGGATAAGAGGAGCAACTAACTAATCTGTCAGCGACAGATGCGGGCGCAATGATAAAATTTAAAATTGCCCAGCTAGCATTGCAATTACCCTCAAATAAAAAGGCACAAGGATGCGCCGAAGGACCTCCTGCAGCGAAAGCGAGAGAGCAGGCTACTCAGGCGCAGAGAGAACGAGACGTGAAGAAGTGCCTCTGCACAGGGATCGTAATATAACAACGATAGTTTCATAAATTGAAAATATAATACAAAATCACATTAAATAATATATAAGTAGTGCTCCAAAAATAAATTGAAACCAAAAACAAGCATGCTTAGAATAGGGAAATATCTCGACATTTTTCTGCATTGCGTGATACACTTTCTAATCCCTGCTCAGTTTTGCTCAGTGTCCTTGCGTTTAATGAATTAAAATAAATGCTCCTGGGCTGCGAAAGGAGGAAAGAAGGATGGGCGACTCGGCGGCAGGCGGTCGCCAGCAGAATGAGCCGCAAGGACAAAAGGCAGTTGACATTATGGCATTGTTGTGGGATGACCCACAGGACCCACCGCCACCCACTCCGCAATCTCCGCTCTCTGTGTGCTGTTGATATTATATTACATTTTATAAATTACATTTTATGCGCAAGCAAAGTTGATTTACCCCAACCCCCCTTGCCTTTTTCCACCGCAAGGACCTGCCCCGCCGCTCTCCACCCCCTCCTGCACCCCTCGCAGGATACACTTCACTTGCATGCAGGACAAGTTGACATTTATTGTGGCTGTGGGCCGTGCATTAGCCACCGACAGAGTCCTTGCCCCGCCTTTTGGGCCCGACTTCAATTGCGCAACGGAAATGCATTAAGGAATTCATACCACCACCCGGTGCCCTCTCATTTCTTGCATGTGGAAGAGTGTCCTTCAGGTACATTGAACCAATAAGCGGCGACCTGTGGGTTTTGGGCACCCTCGAACCAAATGGGGAAACGCTTTTCCCATGAGCCCCCTGCCTTCGATGGGGCTACGTGTTTTCAAAAGCTAATGCAATGTCTAGCCAACACGTAATTCCATATTCAATGCTGATTCGCCAACAAGGGGCAACTAAAGGTGCCAAACTAAAAGATGTGGCATTTTCAAATCAATTGCAATTGGTTAATACTCTATAAGAAGGCATATACTTATATACTTTTAGTACCTTGGTAATGCTTTATATATGCTTTTCAAAACTTAAGGATCAACGTTTCAACTTGAATCCTTCCTCAGTAAAGATACCTTCCGGCATCGGGTATCCAATTTGATCGGTTAGCCTGCTTGGAGCAGAGTATTTCCATCGCACCCGACATAACAACCATTGATGGTCCTACCTGTCCAATAATAATAGTATCAAAAAGCATTTAGCGCCCATTGAAAGAGGAAAAGCGCGCTCGCCCCTTTTTCCAGCGTTTTTCCAGCGCTTACATAAATTTCCCTTTTTTGTGCGCACATTTTTATGACAAGTAATCCGCTTTCACAGCAATTGATGTCAGGGGAAAATCGTCACAAAATGAAAGTTAATACCCAACAACGCGACAATTGATTCAACCTGATGTGATATCCCGTCATTATCATCCAGTTTGCCACTCGGCGACCCCGCCCACGCCGCCCATGCCGCCCCCATCTATTATTGAACATTTTATTTGATGTTGAGTGAGCTGATAAGGCTAATGAATGCATGCACCTCATTCTGTACTGAAATCGGGATCGCTGCTCTGGTGCCTGCGAAACTGGCGAAATGTCATTATGATTTTATTTACACTTGCCTTTAATAAATGCCAGCCCGCCTGTCTTATCGAGATGGCGATGACTGTTTGATTTCGTATTAAATTAGTGTCATAAACAGGAACAACTGCTGCGGTTCGCACGGTTGGCATATAGATAGTGGGGAATGGGGTGTACTGAAAGGGGTGGGGGGAGGTTCGATTTATCAATGGCGTATTTACAATGCTGTATTAACAATTTATTAAACAATTTTATGGTGTTATCGCTGGTTGGCCTCGCATTACGTATACGCACTGCTGGCTCTGTGCGCACTCAGCAGCTGTAATGTAATTTCCGTTCTGCATTTCCGCTCGCCGCCAATACGAAAAAAGCCGCAAATTGCGCGTAATTTTATTTATTTAACGCAGCAGTTTGCTGCGTGCACTCGCTGCTTCATTTGGCCGGCACTCCATTTCCGCAGCACACACGCAGTTGCAGTTGCAGTTGCAGTTGCACTTGCCACTGCTGCTGCTGCTGCGGTTGCCATTGTTCGCGTAATCCCAGTGATTGGCGGCCCTCAATTCTGACCATCGAGTTCATTGACAACTCGCTAATACACACTTATTCCATGAAGATTAAATAAGGGGTATTATTTGTAGGGCATGCAAGTGTGTGCTAACCATAGAAAGAACCACAACTTCTATAACGAATCCATATTGTTCAGCCATAAACTTTTTTAAAAATATTTGCTCGGCCCAAAAGTATGCGACACATTTGCAAAGTGAAACACTCCCAAAATTTCCCTGTCTCACTCCTCGTTTTTTCCAAATTGCTGTGGAAAAACCCGCCCACCTGTATCCTTTTACCTTCGAGCGCCGCGCAGCGTTGTCCTGATTCAGCTCGAAGCGAAATTGGCTTCAATTATGCGACAGAATTATGAAATTACAAAAATTGCGAAAGTAAGTAGCTGCCGCTGCTTTTCGCTTGAGCCAAATGTAATTGCGGCAATTTGCAGTTGCAGCCAGTCGGCTAATAACGTTTATTAAAACCACAACAACATCGCTGGGAGCCGAGGGATCCAGGGACTTACCAGTCCGCCCCCCTCCCATCCCCTTGGCAACAAGCCGAACAGAAGGGGTTGGGGGGGAATGTGGCAGTGCAATCCCATGCTGCAACGTTGTGCAAATTACGCAAATCCTTGTGAAGCACATTAATGCGCACAATGACAATTAATCGCTGCAAATTAAAATGATGACAATGTGCTGGATTTTCCCTGCCCACCTACCCACCTACCCACCTCCCTGCCCCCCAGAAAGGATTAAGCCTGGCGAACGGCGAAAGGAGAGTTAAATTTAAATCATAATTATTTATGGCTAAGCCGGTGTAGGCGGGTAGTTCACATTGTGTTCCCCATTCAGTCGTCCCACATCGCGATGTCCTTGCTCCGCCCTCCGCTCCTCGTGCCGCCCATCCAGACCAACGCCCAGTCGCTCGATGAACTTGGACGAGCGGTAGCCGTTCTTCTGCAAAGATCGTGGTTTAATGGTCAGCCTCGGTCGATTACAGGGTATTCCCCTGCACCTACCTCGTAGTACAGCGACCGGGCTCTTTTGGCCGCCTCCGGATCAAAGTCCCAAGAAGTGCGCTCGTGAAGAACAGGCTCCCCAGCCACATTATTCTGCAGCGTCTCCGTGATCAGCCGAATGATAAAGCCATCTGCAGGTCGACTAGTTTGAAGCAGCAGCAGCAGCGGCAACTGGAAAAATAATATACATTATGCCATAAAATAGAGTGAAATTGTTGTGAAATAATTCCCATATAACTGCTTTGAACCATGCATTTAAGTTTTTTACAAATATAATAAATATTTATATTTACAAATAAAATTTGCATAGGTATTTTCTCATATTAACGAAATGTTAAACAGAAGACAGCGAGCAATGAGATTGCACAATGAATAAATCGATCCGCGTTTATTACTCATACGCCCCGTATTACACGTCCATAACAATCACTTTGTAAGAAAGACTTCCTCGTCGCTGGTCTAAGCGACTTTATTCATGGCTTATTTACTTCGCTTTAAGCACATTTCGGAGCACTTACAGCGACCATAAAGACAAATCTCAAGTGTAACATTGTCTCGATTCGCGTCTGTTTTTCCTCGTTGGAGAGCCGCCCGTGCGAGTCACTGGACCATTGATCACTGAAGACCACGAATCGCAGAAATCGCTTAGTTGCATAAAAGGCAGCCAAGCGCCAACTCGAAAAATATTGAAAATAAAATCCAACCGCTCGCGAGGCAACAAAATATGGCAAACCAAACACACTTTGAGAAGCTACACAGTCGAAACGGAGAGTTGGCCGGAAAGAGAGGGATTGAGAGATTATGGCCAAGATACAAACCGGCTAACAAGTCTTTAACGAATTCGGAAAATTGCGCTAATACCGTCGAAAAGTAATCAGCTTAGAAGCATACAAATACCTTATTCGGCAGCGTAACTTTGGTTTACTTTATAAAATTCATGTATGATCTTAAGATTTAAAGGGAAATATTTCTAATAAATGATTACAGTGTATAAAAAAGTTAATGATACATAGCCTATTAATGGAATACGATCTCCGATCTGTGACTTTGCTGCCAACCTTCGAGCAAGTACTTGAATGCCCAGCTTTGAACTGTTTTATTTTTGTAGCTTAGTTTAATGACAACCCAAATTGGTTTTCGTGGCAGACGGAACTAAGTACGCATGGGTATCTGTGAGTTAAAGGTTACTGCCATTTGCCGCAGAGCAAACTGAAAAAATGAAAAGGTGGCAAGCAAACTTCAACTGAAATAGAAACCCGAGGAAAAATTCGAATGCAAATGCAAATACAAATGCATTCAAAGAAAGTGCGCCCGAGTAGCGAAGAAATGGCACAGAGTCGCGAAATGAAGAAAGCAAAAACAGGTTGTCAACTATTTCTTTTTTTTTCTCCGGCGAAGCATGCAGAAGTTACATAATGGGTCCATTGTCATCTCCATCGGAGGTGGTCATCCAGTCGGGCCACTTTGGTAGCTTTGGTAATCTGGCCCCAATTCCATTTTTGCCCACTCGAACAGCTGTTTTCCAACTCTTCGCCCCGCTCTTCGAAAGTTGGTAAGACTCTTTGGAGCCAAACCAAAATAAAGAGCCTACGTGAGTCGGCTCAGGTGAGTTTTTGTTTATAAACACATATTTCCGGCAGCCTTAATGCATGCAAATCTAGCACTAAGGCTTAGTTTCCTCAGGACTTTCACTTTCCCCACGAGCTGCAAAATCCTGAGACTCATTAGACTAAGTAAACAGGTGACTAACTTCTCAGCTATGCAAACTAATAGTGATTGAAAATGTTGTTCTTCCTAAAATCGAGCTATTACCAAAACCAAGCAGTAAACAATAATATAGTTCAGTTTTAAGCAAAGTCATTCATTAGGTCTTGAAATTAAATATTAACTTTGCAGACTGCATTGATAACTTAACTTCTGCATTGAAATGAGTCTAAATACATTAGTTCAAATGCTCATATTTCCATTTGAAAAGGGTTTTGCCCATTTTTGGCAATAGCACTACTATGTCTTGCACCACTAATATCTCAAGAGATGGCCGCCAGGTCTTAGCCCGACTTTTTAAGCCAAACTTCGAAGCTTCGCTCTCTTCCAAGCTTTTTTCGCGCTCTTCGTGCAGCGCAGCTCTTGGTTGCCCGACTGGCAATGCACTGGCAATTCAGTTGCCAAACAAAACGCGATCGGCTAACAACCACGTACCGCTCGGTCCTAACCTTAGCTTTACCGTTACGCCAGTGATTTAGCACTACACCCAAATCTGAACAACCATGGCTAAGTTGAGTGCCCTGCTGCTGCCCGTAAGTTTCAGATAGTTTCAGATAGTAAGATTTAGTTTCTAGGGTGTACCTGCCAAATTAACACCTTGTGGAGCCCAAGTCTACTGACACAATTTCCGCCTTTTCTGCGCGAAAGTCGCACCCAAAAGAAAACCGTCTGCGTTGGTCGGAAATAGTGACTTGAATTCCCAATGAGTCCGTGTCCGTGTCGCTTCTTCTTTCAAAATCCATTTGTTTTTAGTTTTTTCTTTTCTTTTTTTTGGCGGCCACACAATTGACACATTTTCGAACCATATGTGGGCCAAATTCGGAGGCTCTCTCTTGCGATGGGCGGTGGGGATGGGGAGACCTTGAAAGACACGATCTGGCGCTCTTTCGCGCTCTCTTTGGCCAAGTTGAAAGCCAAGCGAAATGTGTCATAATCTCCTAGCAACAAGTTGTGGCCAAGTTGCGCATCGTGCTTATTGTTGTTAGTGTAATTGCATAACCGGCGTCAACAAACCGTTGCTTACAAGTTGGCTCAAAAGCCTGAAAGCGATTTCTTGACTGTTGTCGCACTCACATTTATTACCACTTTCGTGCAGCTGACACAGTGAGCCATTCAGCATTGGGCCAAATTAATCTGCTTTCACAAAGATAGGTTTTCTGTAAGAAATTGAATTAAAGTCGTACTTTTACTTACAGCACGCCACTGCTTTTAATTGCCGAAATCGTATTTTAATTAGACATATTCAAAAAATTAGCTGGTCCGCTTTTTCCGTAACGTTAACTTGAAATAAATAATTGAGGATTAGAATTTCTGGTCTTCAGTTTTGACCATTTGAGTCCAAACTCAAAACTACCACGAAGTGTAGGAGGAGAAACATTGTGTATCAATTGACTAAACTTTTAAACAAATATGTAAACAAAATCAACGACTTTCTTTACCTTGCAGCTCATTTTGTTTATCGTCGCCTTTGTGGCACACACATCTTTTGCCACAGTGCAGCCAAAGGCCCCGAACTTCCAATACTTCGAAAGGTATGCATTGGCCAATTTAAACAATTTTTCACTAATTTTTAAAAAACATATTTCAGGCCCAAATACCGTTATCCCTACTACGATGAGCACGGGCGCGGAAAACTTCTCTATGGCTACGGCGGACCGGAATTGTATCAATACAAGACCTACACGCCTTTGGAGGGCATACACTAGGCTTAACTACGATTAGATGCAATGTAGCTCGTAATTGATGTATTCTATTTGCTGCTTTATTTAAATTAAACCTTTATTTCTTAACCCAAAACAATTTTTAAATTATTGATAACTTGAACTACAGAGGGCGCTCTTAGTTGGGGTTGCAAGTGCTGGTCACACTGCAAAGTTGCGTTGCTACCTCACCACGCTCGCAGTGTGACCGCAGCAGGGCCGGCTTAAAATGCCAACTGCTTCATCAATTATTATTATTGTTGCCGAAAGGTTTTGTAAACTGCATTTATTTTGAAATAATCTATTAAAATGTCCCGCAAAGAGGCGCTGTCACAGTTCATCAACCAGATACACGGTCGCCCCGTCGCCGTGAAGCTGAACAACGGCGTGGACTACCGAGGTGCATTCAATGAGTGCCCACAAACAATGCCCGCCCTTCATCACGTTTACCAATTTTCCTAATTTACTGACCAAATTCCAGGTGTGCTGGCCTGTCTGGATGGCTACATGAACATCTGTCTGGAGCAAACGGAGGAGTACGTGAATGGGCAGCTGAAGAACAAGTACGGTGACGCCTTCATCCGCGGCAACAACGTTCTCTACATTTCCACGCAGAAGCGGAGGGTCTGAAATCGTAGCGCCTAAGTCAATTCCCCAAATACAACATGGTCCACAAAAATACAGTCAACTGGAATGGCCACACGAAGTTCGTAGTTGGAGAGCTCGTTGGTTCCTCTGCTTCCTGCAGAGAGATCCTGCGACACCACAAGTGTTTCGTACTTCCATATTAAAGCTGAACCAACTTCTCATCATCCCGTGTACAAGCAAAATCCAGTAGACTTTTAATACTCTCACAATTCACATGATTACCATGATCAAGTAGACCTGGTTGATTCGTTTCTTAAGTTTATTCCATAAATACACTATCTAAAGCAGCTCAGTGCGATCCGCACTCAACTGGGATAGTGCGGAGTGCCAAACTCGCGGGGAATGGCTCCAAAGTGGCGCAGTTGTGGTAACGAATATCCAGATCCCAGGGCAGCGATCAGGCGCTCTCCGCGGTATCCAAACTTCCTCTCGTAGACCGGACGCCAGGAGCGACCGAAGTGCGGATCGAAGGGAATCTCGCTGAGCTGCTGGAACGGAGAGTTGCCGAAGAACAGGCGGTCCAGATAGTCCAGCACCGCCTTCTTCTTCTGAAAGTGCTCCAGAAATGGATTGGCGTTGGCGGCGGTGCGCGGATCCTGCGATGCCAGGTTCTTGAAGTACTGGAAGTTCACCAGATCCACGTTGGAGAAGTCAAAGACCCCGGGCAGATCGTGCAGCGTGGCTTGGACTCGCACCAGGGAGCACTGTGCAGCCAAGGGCAATGTTAATGGGCTGATGATTATGGTGGCTGGGTGGCTGCTTTAATTGACCACTTACCATTACGGCCAGTGCAGCAATTAAGACGTATTTACACATTGCAATTGTCACGAAGATCCGAACAGACGACGACACCTATACGCTTCCCCACGCGGAATTCAACTGATTTGAATAAATTCGGCCAACTGCATGGCCATCGATGGCACTGCCTCCCATGTCCGACTGCCCAGCGATTTGCAATCGCTCCCAGGTCTTGTACTATGTTGCAATATCCCACCACCGATTCGCATTGCCCAATTCCGCCCGACGCGGTGTCCACTAGAGCCCAGCCAAATGTAACAGTCACCATTAATTGGTATGCATGCCGCATCCAGAGGCTCCAATCAAAGCGCTCGTCACCACAGCGGATCCACTCACATGGCCACTGGATTGATTACAATCTCTGGATCTTAATGAGACTGCTTTGTTTAGGCGACCCAAGATCGGTGCATCTGGCTCCATATGGTGCATCTCTTTCCATAATTTATGTATGTAAATCGAAACACGTGTGACCATTGGCTGATAAATTAGTGCAACATTTAGATAACCCACAAGATTATTCAACAAATAAATTTATAAGTTGATAAATGGAGAAATTAAAATTCATGATATTCACTTTTTATGTTTGACAATTAAATTTAATTTGTTGTATAATTTTATAAACATATTTCATTATTAGATTAAGTTTAAGTTTAGTTAAACGTATACATTTTAATCATACAAATGTATATTTTGGGTAATTCTAAAATTTTACCTGTGCAGATATTCACATCCTGCTGGATCTAAACAGGAAACCGAAATGTTAACTTACTTGGTGGTATAAAACATATATAAAACGCAAAGAAAGATAACAACTGATTGAATAACGTTATTCAATGTGAATTTCACATTATCATACGAATTCTTTGGGAGGATGGTTTCCAAAAATGGCAAAATAACAAAAACCTAGTTAAAGGACTTTTCCTACATCCAATCGATATGCAAATGGCGACGGTAACCGAGTGCGTAGGTCGATGGCCAGATTTCTATAGAAACTGAAACAAACAAAGCCATTATAGCAAAGGATTCGCAGACGGGTCCTTCCCCACAGGATTACGTAAAGTTAGGGCTCAGTTAGCTTTGATGTTGTGAAATACGCACGCATCCAAACACTTTTGAGGTCGCTGTCACGAGAGCAAACTAAAATCACTAACACAATTAATTTCAGTTGTTTAAATTTTAGACATAAAGTTCGTTCCAAAACTTGAGGATTTCCAGTGAAAAAAATCGAAGAAGCCGCCAGTAAAATGGCCACAAAACCGGGAAAAGGCGACGGCAAGCAGGCGAAGGGGAAAGTAAGTATGGAGGGGATACACCGACCTATATACCCTTATATACACTGCACTTTGTGCCAATTGCACTCCGCCTAAGCACACATCCTTTCGCCGCGAAGGCTGGCGGCGTAGTGGCAAAATCGAGGTCCTTGCTGCGGCACAACGTCTATTTTTGTGTTTAAAAATTGTTTGCGCCTATTTGCGCTTACTTTTTAATAAGTTTGGCTGAAAGCTTGGCTCCGTCAGGCAGCTCTCCTTGATGGAACTTTGTCACGGAACATAATTTGCAATTTCCGGACCCATCCGGCTCCGCTCGGCGGAGGAGTAGCTCCGGAGTGGCGGAGGAGCAGCGGCCACCGTGTGCGTGCCAAGCTGGAAAACGCGGAGACAGAGGGATCGGGTCCTTGCAATTTAGTTACAGCTACCAATTTATTTTGGCCCATGGGGACTGGCCTTTGCAGGATGTGAGTGTCGAAGGCTCATCAGGCGCAACGCAATAAAAGAGTCGATAAATCACTCACGTATACGACCCTAGGCTCACCTTATTCATTTGGATGCACATCAAAATAAATATGTTTTTATGTAAGAGCCAATCTGGCCCGCTGTTATCCCCACATCCCCCATCCTCCATTCCCCATTCCCAGGACCTGCTAATCGAGTTGTGTGTGCAATTTGTTTATTCCACCTCATCCTGTTGTGACGTCAGGCCGGAAAGTTGTTCGCCTTCGCCGGTGAAGAGGCCGCTGACGTGGCGAACGTCATCACGAATGTCTTGGCTCCAAAAGCTGAGGCTCCTTTTTTGGGTCTCAGTCTTGCCTCGCCGCTCTCGCCGCGCAGATTTCCCGGATTACTTCAATCCGGATACATTTCCGAACTCAGTTCCTTCTCGCCCCAAAGAACTTGAAATACCTACCAGGATGTGGAAGCTAGCCAACAAGGCCATGGCGGTATATGACCACTAGATTGCATCCCCACTAGCAACTCTTAGCTAACCGAGTAGATCTGTGTGCCTGTGAGTGTGGCTGCAGTGCGTTTCAGAATCTTTAGGCTAGATTCTAGTGAAATCAGGATAAAAGCTCTGATAATCCAGTACAATCTCTATCGGTTTGATGTTCATCCCAATTCGGATAGCCTTCGAAATGGAATTGACTTGTATGCTTACGAAAATATCAGATTCTGAAATGCACGGCAATGTAGGGATCTGTAAATACCACAAGTGCCTGTCTGTGTCTAACGTATATAACCGATATCTTTCCATATGTACGACTTGTAAATACAACCCGTAGTCGTTTTCTCGAAACTAAATCTGAACTCGTAGTCGTAGCTCTCCATCTCAGATCACATATAGATCATATATCGCACCGCAATGTCAGAGGTTGCGAGTGTCCCGGGCACCGGCGATCCTGTGGAGGATCCTGAGATCGCCAGCCAGAGCGATTGTGATGGCGACGAGGTAACGCCTGCCTGGGAATTGTTCCTATCAACCGATATTTGGATATATCTACTATGTATATATACTTTCAAGTCGCATGCCGCATACTGCTTGGTTCTCCTCTCTCTCATTATTCCTCCTCCTCTCACCTGCCCCAAAAACTAGTTTGCACCCACATCTTGAGGTATTCTATGTTGGCTGTAATGTCAGGTAAGTGGCCATTCCCAAGGATCCCCCTCCTAGCTTCGTTTCTTTTGTGGCACCTTCAGTGGAATGTTGCATGCACCGCACACTTTGGAAAGCCCATACTCCACCGGTCCAGTGAGTTAGTCATACTGTTGATCCAATTTCCCCAGCTGAGGACCTCCAAGAACAAGACAGATGGCGCTGGGGGTGGTGGCGGCGATGCCGATGACTTCGAGGCCTGGATGAAGTCGCGCCAGCTGCTCAAGCCCGACGACCAGCTCGATCTCACCGAGGCGGAACTGGGCGAGGAGATCACCAAGGTGCTGACTCCCACCAACACCAACATCATTCGCAATCTCGTGGTCTACAGCTTCAAGGAGGGCGAGTTCGTTCTGGCTCCAGTGCCCGGCAACACGGTCACCCTAATCGCCTTTGCCGGGAACTCACTACACGTGGACTCCGATGAGGGTCGCCGCCAGATCGAGGAGTCGGACGAGATCGGCTACCCACTGCCCATGCCCAACTACACCGTGGTGGAGCAGCGCGAGACCGATAACGTCGATGGTGAGGAGGGAGAGGGCGAGGAGGACGATGATGGAGCCAAGTGAGTAGTTCCACCAGTTCGGTATACCTATATATTTGATGTGAATCCTTTTTAATGCCAAAGCGCAAAGGACGGCGGCGTAGAGGACGAGGATGTCGAGGAGGAGGACGACGAGGAGGCCAAGGGCACCGAGGGTGATGAGGGCGAGGGTGAAGGCGAGGGTGAGGGCGCTGCTGCCCGCCAGGAGGACGATGGGCCCGCCCAGCAGGCGGCGGCCGTTTCATCCAAGAAACGCAAGCTAATCAACCAGTTCAACTACTGCGAGCGAGGTGCCCTCACTTATTCGAATCCTAAAAGGGTAAGTCCCACAAGTGTAGTGAGTAGATTTATATATTTATTGCATTTTATCCTTTTAGAATGTAGACACCCAGACCATACCACCGCCCCGCTCCCAGTTCGGAGCCAATGTGCTGCAGTGGGTCATCTATGATTCGTATATGGAAAACTTTGAGGAGTCCCAGAAGGACGGCAGCAAGAAGGAAGACCGCAAGCGCGGCAGGAGGGAGAAGAAGTTCCGGGACAAGTCGGCCATTGCCGAGCAGCTGAACAAGAAGTATCTCAAGTGCTGGCAGATTCTCGAGCGGATGATCAACCAGAATATCTACGATGACATCGCCCACGATTATCGCTACTGGGAGGATCCGGCGGACGAGTTTCGCGATGGCGAGGGCAACCTGCTGCCGCTCTGGAAATTCCAGTACGACAAGACCAAGAAGATGAACGTCACCGACATCCTGTTCAATCCGACCTACTACGATCTCTTCGCCGTCTGTTTCGGATCGCGTAATTGAATAGTGATATTGTACACCTTTGGTTGCCCATATATAATGGTTTCATCTTCTTTTCAGATGACTTCATGAAGCAGACCAATGAGGGTTACTTGTGTCTGTTCACTGTTAAGAATCCCTCATTCCCGGACTACATTAGTGAGTCCTAGTTCGCCTAGTTCGCCATGCCTGCCTTAGAACTCATTGATGGTCCGTTTTTCTTCGATTTCAGTTCAAACCGATTGTGGGGTCATGTGCTGCGACATCCATCCAACGTATCCCTTTCTGGCGGTGATCGGTCTCTATGACGGCAACGTGGCGGTCTACAATCTTCGCGAGGACTGCAAGGAGCCACTTTATGTGTCCAAAGGGGTCAACTGCAAGCACGGCGAGTGCGTGTGGCAGATCAAGTGGGGTCTGGACATGGCCGATGGCGAGGTGAACTTCTTTTCGGTGTCGTCCGATGGGCGCGTCTTCAACTGGATCCTCATGCAGAACAAACTGTGGGTCACCACCATCATCACATTGTACCGCGAAAACGGACTGGTGGACGGTCCAGATGGAACGAAGGTCACCCTGAAGAGCGGAGGATCCTGCATGGTCTTCCATCCAGTAGATAACAAGGTACAAATGATCTATGTGCTTGGATACTATTGATTTTACACAAAAGTTTTAGGTGTTTTTGGTGGGCACCGAGTGCGGCTATATCTACAAGTGCAGCACGGCTTTCAGCTCAAAGTATCTGATGACCTACTATGCCCACAACATGTCCGTGTATCGCATTGACTTCAACCGCTTCAACAGCAACATCTTCGTGTCCTGTGGCGCCGATTGGAGGGTTAAGGTGTGGGAGGATATGCGTCCCGATCCACTGTTCATCTTCGACCTGGGAGCCGCCGTGGGCGATGTCAAGTGGGCTCCGTACTCGAGCACCGTATTCGCAGCGGTGACCACCGAGGGCAAGGTCCACGTTTTCGACTTAAATGTGAATAAATACAAGGCCATCTGCGTCCAGGCCGTGGTGCCGAAACGGAAGAACAAGCTCACCAGGATATCCTTCAACGAGAAGCTCGCCTTCATTGTGGTGGGCGATGAGAAGTGAGTACCATAGAAATTATTAGATATACATATTTATATGCTTATATTCCTAATTTTACCTTCAGGGGCGTCACCACATCGCTGAAGCTATCGCCCAATCTGCGGATGATGGTCAAGCCGCCAAAGAAGCAGCTGTATCTCGACCAGAACACCCTGCAGATTAACAAGCTGGAGAAGCTGCTGTCCCTGGTTCGGGAACTTCCAGAGGGTGGAACTGTGGTTCCCGATGCTGCCACAACCGTGCGAAGCTAGATCGCTAGATCAGGATCATGAACCCAGCCACAAAATAACACTATATTCTGAGTTGATGTATTATATTTTACACATATATTCTGAAATAATCTCGATTCATCCGTCTTGTGTTACTCTATGTTCCTATCAACCTAACAAAAATTTGCTATCAACGTTGAAGTCAACCAACATAAGGAACTTAGAAGCAATGTATATAGTCACCAAATTGTATATATGCTTAAAACCAAATAAACTATACAATAAAATTGTAGTCAAATCCGTTTTAAGGTAGCTTTAGTAGATTTTAAGACCGTAAAAAACAACTTAGTTTAAATGATACTTCATTCAAATTAAATTGGTAGGGCTGTTCAGTCGGATGATGAGTATATTGATTCTAAAACAAAACTAATCAATAGTTTAAACTAATTACTTACATTAATTGGCTTCATCCTATAATTCCTTAATAATCACGATTTCGTTAATAATCTCAGTGTTCAGCAAAAAAATGAAAATATTCTTTTCCCATACTTACTCACTTCAGTGAGTAAACGCCATTTTGTGTTTTTAAAGCCGGATTTAAACGAAGTGGGCTCAATCCTCATCCGCATCCAAGTCGGCGGACTTCACTCTGATGCGCTTCTCCTCCAGATACTCCAGCACATTGTTTGGACACATAACACTCTTGCCCAGGAAGAGCACCGTGGACATCGGATGCAGGTAGTCCGCCGAGAAGCTTCTGGCCTTCCAGCCGAAGAAGCCACTTGCCTTCGCCTCAGTTCCACTGATGGAATAGGGCAGCAGGTTGACGCCCACCTGGTTGGGCTTGGAGAACTGGACGCGGAAATGATGGCCATCGGTGGCCTTTATCCAGTAGAATCCCTCGTTGTCCACGTACGGCTTGCTCTGCGACTTCTTCATCGCATTGGATCGCTCAAGGTCCTGGACATTGAAGCTAATGTCAATGTCGTAGGCATCCGGAGACAGGTGGTTCGTTTCGATGGCGCTCTGCAGGGCTCGGTTGTCCAGCCAGTAGCGGATGCCCACGTTCTCGAACTCCTCCAGCACATGGTTAAAGGTCGTCCTCAGCTTGTCCAGGCAGCAGGGTGGCGTGTGCTTGCCCAGGTAGGAGTAGTAGGGTCTCTCGTTATACACACTACCTATGCAGGACTTGGTGGTCCGCTCGCAGCCGAACAGATCGATGTCGGTGATCAGGGGCAGCGAGGTGTTCGAGGACGAGAACTGGCCGTCCAGGACCAGGCCGTGGCCCTGGCCCCACACCTCCCGAGCCTGAGCCTTTCCTGGAACTCGGTATGCCCTTCTCACGATCCGCTTGATCTGCAGTTTCTTGTACATCTCACGGAATTGCCGACGGCGCAGGTCCATCCTCCGCTGTTTGGTGTGGAAGGAGGCAAATAGACGCCGTCCCTCCTGAAAGGCTTGCGGGAACACCGTGGTCTAGACAGGATTTCCAGCGTTACTACTACCAGGCGGCAATCATGGGGAACTACTCACCGAAAGATTGGCTATCTTGGCCTGCATGTAGAGCATTTCCGGAAAGGGCAGGGAGAAGGGCTCGGGCATGGCTCCCAGAGCAGCAGCATCCAACAGGATGGCGTGCTTCTGCAGGAACTGTTTATAAAGAACAGAAGACGATATGGTTTTAAGCGCAGAAACTTAAGATATATCCCCTATTTTACTTACCAAATCACATCGCCTAGTATCGTTGGTGGCCACCAGCTCCAGTGTCCAGTCGGGCAGATCCAGGTTCATCTTGACGCAGCTGCTGAAGGACTTCAGATTGCCGGCAAAGGGCACTAGCACCATGCGGCGCACCAACTGTTCCGGCGGCACTGGAGGTCGCTGCTCCTTGGGCTGTCCCGGCAAGCCCAGTGAGTTAATCTCGCGCAGAATCTTCTGCAGGATGTTCTTGCTGCTCAGCCGCACGCCATCCGGCATAATGAGGACGTACTTGGTGCGAATGGATGCCATGGGATTCAGCTCCAGTCGCGTGCGCCGCACATCGAAGGACAGGCTCTGGAATAACACGGTGCGCTCCTCTCCGGCAGTTAGATTCCGCTCGTAGTTGACCGGCGGATAGGCGTACTCGGCACCGCCATCCTGCAGCACCAGGATGGGCATGTTGGGTATCACGTCCAGGATACTGTCGATCGATGCCTTCAGATCCTGCTCGAAGTTGTAGTGGCCATAGAACACTATGGTGATCGACTTGCGAATGTGTTTGTTGGCATTGCGCAGCTTGTCCTTGGGCGACAGTTTGGCGGCCTTTGGCGGTTCCTCTGCCGGCATGGATTCCCCGGAGAGAGCCCTACTTATCCGCCGCCAGAGCAGCGTGTTCCACGTGTAATAGAGGAACACCAAATTGGCCAGCAGGAATCCAAGCAGCAGCAGCTTGACCAGACGCAACCGGAACACCTTCATTCCGAGTGTGCAGGATATGCTCGCGATTCGCTAGATTCTGGTGGTGTGTCTGTATCTGTATCTGTTTGTCCACCCGGGTGTCTACACTGCATCTACATGACTGGCGGGCATAGCGCGCTCTTCGGACCACACTGGCTTCATCCGCAGATCCTTCCAAGGATGGTTGCTGCTCATACTCAAAGTGCACTTGGCTGGGCTAAAGCACTCATTTAACTTTTTATTTTCCGCTTTTCGAGAACTTTGTTTTTGTGCCGATTCCTTTTTCGTCGGCTCTGCGCAAATACCGATTTCCTCCCCGCGGAAAAGCGCTTTCAGCTCGAACAGCTGATGCAACCGCAGCTGGAAAAACGGATGAAAAGCTTCCTCCCATGCTATATGACCGTATACCATTTTCAAGAGCTTTCCACTACGCCTTTCGCGCCTATAAGGTACAAACTTCAATTAATATACAAGCAGAGCGCACGTAAAAAATATTTAAACAATAAGGAATGCTATAGTCGACTCGTCTATTGATCCTGATCAAGAATATATACATATACTTTATATGGTCGGAAAGGTCTCCTTCTGCCCTTTAGTCTACTAGTAACGGGTATATAAATCCGGTATTAATAAACAGTAAAAGCGATTTTGTTTTTATTTCAATACAGTATAAAATATTTGTCTGCGGACATGTTTCTCAGGTAAGTGTTTCGGCATACTTCAAAAAGTTTTATGAAGTTATGGAGTTATTTTCTCCACACAAACAATATATTTTTGAATACAATTTTAAATGGGGCTTCTGTGGGACCCTGAAATAATACTGATTTGTACGAAATCGATGCTAAAATGACTACTTTCCCATGCCGGCGAAGAGCAGCGGGAAGGGCACCTCGTCAGTGGTCAGGATCTGCGGAGTGGGAGGACGAGCCTCGCCCTCGGAGGTGCTATTCAGCCAGTAGGTGGTGACCGTGCCCTTGCCCTTCAGCTCGACATCGCCGCGCTGCTCCATTTGGAAGGTGCCGAACTTGTCCAGGATGGCCTTAGTGGCCGACGACACGTGTATCTTGCCCGGCTGGCCAGTGCTCTCCATTCTCGACGCCGTGTTGACCGTGTCTCCAAACAGGCAATAGTGTGGCATCTTCTTGCCAACGACTCCGGCGCACACGGATCCCGAATGCATCCCAATGCGTATCTGGATCTTGTACTCCGGCTTATGGCGGAGATTGAAGGAGCTGACTGCTCGAAGGATGTCCAGGGCCATGAGAGCAATCTCGCGGGCATGCTTGTCACCATTGGGCTCCGGCAGTCCTGAAACCACTAGATAGGCATCACCAATCGTTTCCACTTTGTAAACGTCGTAGAAGCCAATGATCCGGTCAAAGGTGCTGTACAAGTCGTTCAGGAAGTTGACCACATCCATGGGACTGCTGCGGGCACACAGTTCGGTGAAGCCAACGATGTCACTAAAGTATATGGTCACGCTGCTGAACTCCTCCGGCTCCACAAGATCGCCGGCCATCAATTGCTGGGCCACTGGACGCGGTAGGATTTGGTAGAGCAGCTCCTCCGTGCGCTGCTTTTCCAGGCTCAATTGGCGCGTTTTCTCCTCGACGAGACTCTCGAGATTGTTGGCATACTGCTCCATGCGATTTAGAAGATCGTCCATCAGATTTTCGCAGAAGCCTCTAAGTTTGGTTTTAAATTAGTAATAACTGAAAGACTTTAACTATAAAAGGAAAGACTTTAACTTACTTCATTATAGTGCGAATATTACTGCGTATGGTGGAGAAAGTGGGCCGCTCCTCCTGGTTGTCTGCCCAGCATTTCTCCATCAGCTCCAGCAGATCGGGAGGACACTCGCGCTCTCTTATAAGCGGACGGAATCCATTACACTGGCGCACCTTGTGCAGGATCGTGTGAACGTCCATCTGCTGGCGCGCCTCCTGGTAGGGTCCACCACGATTAACAATCTCCTCCAGAATTATGCCAAAGGAGTACACATCGCCGCGCTGCGTGGCTGGACAGCAACCAGGTATGGAGGTCAGTGGGAGGAGTTCCGGAGCAATCCACAGGAGCTCTGAAATGATTTGCGCCACTCAGTAACTCAACATTTTTTATGTCTCTGGAACTCACTCAGATAGTAGTTCTGATCCCGCACAAAGTCAGAGGGCGTGGTCAGCGTTCTTAGACCAAAGTCGGAGATCTTGAGGACGAATCGTCCGTCTATCAGGCAATTGCAGGACCTTAGTTTTCCGTGGGCAGCCACATCGCTGTTGTGCAGATAGTTCATGCCCTTGACGATGTCGTGGATGAGCGACATGCGAAAGTTCCAGTCCAGCTCGATGGCCTCGTTCTCCAGCACATCCTTCAGGCTGCCCCTCGAGCAATACTCGGTGAGGATGAGCACGGTGGGTCGCGGCAGATCGATGCAGGCGCCCACGAAACGCACCGTATTCTCGTGGCTCACATCCCGAGCCTGTTTGATCTCCCAGAGGAGCTGCGGCGTCAGGTCCACCTTCTTCACGTTCACCTTCTTGATGGCCACCCGCTCGCCCTTGAACTGACCAATGGTGGTGTACACTTGCGGCGGAAGCGACGTGAAGCTGGCTATCGAGGCTCGTCCCGAGTGGATTCCGAACTGCTGCAACGAGATGTTCTCCACATCCAGGCGCTGCAATCCTCCCTTCGACCCAAACATGCCTCCCATCTCGATGAGGACATCGTCGGGTCGCACACGCCAGGACATATTGTTCAGCTCCTTGCTGAGCTTCATCTGCCTGAAATTAGTGTACTAATAAGTAAACTAAATATTTATGGTAACTAAAGTAAGTTACTTTTGTAGAAGGCAGATAACCAGGAAAACGAGACCCAGGAAAAGGACCAATCCAAACACGGAGTACATAATGGTAGAAACTGAGATAAGGATATTTTATACATAAGATATATGTATATTATCAGTTGTATCTTACAGTTTCCAAGACAGTCTGTGGAATTTCCCAGGAACCCACAGGGAGGCACATCCGGCGGTGGCTCCTCCCGTCCACCAGGCCAATGTATTTTTTTGCCATGAACAGCTGAATATACTCTTTAGAAAACAATGAAATAATTATGCAAATTGTCCTTGAAACTTAACTAAAACATTCTCACTTGTGAACACCGGAGTAATGGGCCAC